CCAATAGCGAACACCTAGACACCCATTTCCTCGACGGCGAACACCTAGACACCCACTTCCTCGACAGCGAGCACCTAGACACCCACTTCCTCGACAGCGAGCACCTAGACACCCACTTCCTCGACGACGAACACCTAGACACTCATTTCCTCGATGGCGAACACCTAGACACCAATTTCCTCGACAACGAATACCTAGACACCCATTTCCCCAATAGCGAACACCTAGACACCCACTTCCTCGATGTCGAACACCTAGACACGCATTTCCTCGATGGCGAATACCTAAACACCAACTTCCTCGATGGCGAACATGTAGACAACACCTAGACACTTACTTCTTCGACAGCGAACATCCAGACACTCACTTCTTCGACGGCGAACACCTAGACATCCACTTCCTCGACGGCAAACACCTACACACCCATTTCCTCGACGACGAACACCTAGACACCCACTTCCTCGATTATTATAATACTACATTTATAGTATTCTAAGGACGACTGTTAGCGACGCCAATTAACATAATCGACTGTATTAAGTTTATTATGGATTTAGATATAAATATGATGTGTAATAATAAAAATGTGATGTATAATAATTTATATTGTAAACTTCTAATTAATTGTTCTTTACTTATTATTTTATGTTTGAATTATAAGAGTCCTTTACTCATTTTTATATTGTATGTTTTTTTAATAATGAGAAAACACACACTCACTACCATATAAATAAATCATTATCTTTTAAATTCAAGCCTTTCCTTTCAGTAAATCTAAAAACAAACAGCACAAAGAATCAATTCTGTCATAATTATAAAGAATAGAGAGAACAATTTATTAATAAAAAATTGGAATAAACTACCAGAATAGAAAATGTATTCTTACACCGAAAAATGTGTTTTACAGCAGAGAATATTTATTCTAGCCTCAATTACGTGTTTATACGTGTTCCTCTGTTCCATCGATGTGACAGATTCTAACCTGAATAGTTGAACGGTTAATACTAAATGCCACATTTGCCTCTTGCTATCTAGAGTCAAACCTGTCAGAATGAGATGGCGAACACCTAGACACCCATTTCCTCGAAGACAAATACCTAGACACCCACTTTCTTGAAGGTGAACACCTTGACACCAACTTCCTCGAAGGCGAATACCTAGACACCCATTTCCCAAATAGCGAACACCTAGACACCCATTTCCTCGACGGCGAACACCTAAACGCCCACTTCCTCGACGGCGAATACCTAGACACCCATTGCC